GGATTGAACCCAAGACCTCCTGAATGCCACTTGTGTGCCTTACCAACCGAGCTAGGCCGCTGGATCTGAACAACTTTTCCCTTGGGGTCACATCAAAATTCTTTATGAAAAAAAAAAAAAAAGTTAAATAACAATAAATAAAGCCAACGGTGACAACCCCAATTTGTTTTTTCTTTTTTTTGTGCGTTAAACTGCTGAAAATGGAGTATGTCCGGGACTGGATGTCCGGGACCTCCCGACTGTCCCCGGCCAAGACGTCCTGCCATCGGACAACTGGTAGCCTAAAAGTTATTACGAGTTTTCCAGGAAACAAGTGTTTAGAAAAAAAAAAAAAAAATTTCCGGGAAACTATGCTTAAAAAAAAGGAAAATTTTCCCGGAAAGAGAAGGGGTCTAACTTCCTCATGCACTTCTTCTTCTTCTTCTTCTTCTTCTTCTTTTTCTTTTTTTGAGTTTACTTGCGCTGAACTGTGATGCAGGAATTTGTGTTTTCACCTTTTCAAAGTTTTCATCCTTCAAGGCTTCAACCCAATTTTGTGCCTCGGAACAGCTAACACTTGCTGCCCAATTTGTTTGCTCTCCCTGTATAACGAAGAGGAACGGTCGACCCAAAGAGAGACGAGGAAGGATTATGCAAAAATGGACGGCCATGAGTGACAACAACATAAATCATCAGATAGAAGAGATGGGGGATAAAATGGAAGATCCAACCCGTTGAGGTGAAGCGAAGAGCAGATGGACAATTGATGGATTGATTGATCAATTGCTTGCTTGCTTGCTTGATTGGTTGGTTGGTTGATTGGATTGATTGGGATTGATTGGGATTGATTGGGATTGATTGATTGATTGATTGATTGATTGATTGATTTGATTGATTGATTTGACTCACTGACAAAGAGATTGACATTTGCCCACTCAATGATTTCAGCAATGTGCACATGCTCCAACCACCAATCAACTTTGCATCCACGCTGACACAGTGGGAACCCATGCTTCCACCTCTCACGAGTGTGAGTAACGGTATTTAGCTAACAAATTTGCATCCTCGTGTTCATCAAGAAACAGGATAAGATGTGCACATTTCCTGGTTTCCATGATCGATAGATTTGCATCGATGTGTTCATCAACGAACCTAATGTAACCAAAAGAAAAATTTAACAAAAGGAAAAACAGAGAAAAAAAAAACAAACACCTGATGATACGAAGCCAGACTCCAATCTCTTGACACTTGTTATTCACCCCCTTCCCCCCTTCCCTTTTAGTGCAAAAAAACTTGTACTCACTCAGAAAACAAACAGGGACCTTCCAGTTCGAAATAACACGGAACTGCGTTGAAAATTTGAAATACAATCTCTCCCTCTCTCTCTCTCTCTCTCTCTCTCTCTCTCTCTCTCTCTCTCTCTCTCTCTCTCTCTCTCTCTCTCTCTCTCTCTCCCATCACACATCTACCTCCCTCCCTCACTCCCTACATACCTACCTACCTTACAATGGCCACCTTATACCCTGTGGGAAATGATACACAGAGCAGCCACAGAGGCCAACCAGCAGACAGTCGCCACCTCCCGTGTCCACCATGTCAGATCTCTGACAGGCTGGCAAGGCCCAGCAAACAAACAGCTGGTCCACAGCAGCTGATTTGATGGGTCCCCTCTTTCGCTTCCTACCTGCACACCATAACCCCCCCCTCCTTGACAACAGTCAACACCAGCCTTGGTGCCATTTTTTGAAAACACAAATTCGCAGTCCGTCACAGTACTACAAACTCACAGAAGCATACAGACAAACTTCCTCTCTCCTTATTTTCCGTAACTGACATTACCATGAATCCCCTAATTGTGGAACACCCACCCACCCACCCACCCCCCTCACCTGCCGCTCTCCATTCCCTCTCCAGTTGCTGCAGCAAGCTAGGTCCACAAGCGTGCGAAATTAGGTTCGTAGTACTTCGTACCCATCTAAGCCATCTTAGATCGACCACCTCAGAGAGGCATAGCAAATCTTTTGCACGTCATTTTTCCATTTTTGTTTGCCAGGCCAAGTCGCATTACAGACCAATTGGGCACTCCTTAGACCATCCGCACCTAGCAAGCTCTCCTCTGTGCGGGGAGTAGGACCCAGGCTCCTAACCCTTGGCGATGGGTGGGAGGGGAAAGCTATACCCCTATCAAGACCAACCGGAGGGGGCACACCAACTATCTCAGCTGGTGAACCCGCTGTGCGCTGCAGGAGGACATGGACGTTCGAATTCGAATGGAAGATGTGGGGAATCGAATCCACAACCTCCTGAATGCGGCTTTCGTGCTCTACCAACTTTTCTCGCCATTTTCATTCGCGTCAGGTAGATACTAATTTAATGCCACCCCTGTAAAGGAACCACTCATTGCCTGGATGCGAACCGGACTGCAAACTACCAACCTGCCAGCCTGGGCTCCTCGCTGCAAAATTCCCTCCGCGCCCATCCCACATCTAATATGATTACACCGTGATGCTTCTCACCCCCAAACTGCAAACAAACCTTGCAAGCAGTCTTACGCCAACAAAAAATGGATCTCACCCCCACCCTGTCTCCCCGGACGGCCCGGCCGTGCAAGGGCCGGGGAGGTCCTAGCAAAAAAAAAAAAAAAAAAAAAAACCCTGAAAAAAAACTGTGTTGTGCAGAAAAATAAACTGAACAACTTTTTTTACCTCAGGGTCAGATCAAAATTCTTTACCCCCCCCAAAAAAAGGTTAAAAAATCATTTTTATTTCTTTATTTTTTTATTTTTTTTGGCCTGGCCGGGCAAGTGGCCCCGGGCCACTCTGGTAGCCTAGGTTCAAAGTCAAGTACCCCATTATTTGTATTTCGCACGTCGGCACCCTTGAGAGCACTGGCCATAGATCAGACACGACGCGTCTGTCATTTCGTGTGCAATCAATAACATCTCCTATGTCATGCTGTCTTCCCCAAATAGAAATTTCTGAGTAAATCATAATCTTTTGCTACATCGGATGTCCCACTTGAGTATGCCAAAGTGGGCAATTCATTCTGTAATGACGAATCGCATCAAGGAGTGGAGCAGACACTATGACAGGTATCTTACGGATGTCCCCGAACTATATATGATTCCGGCAGCGAGCCGCAAGTTAAACCGTCTTTACCGGCCAACATTGCTTTGCACAGAATGCTTTGAATGAGTGGCTCGGCAACAGGTGGCCGAAGGTCGGGTTATCTTCGTACGATACGCCGACGATCTCGTCGTTCTTCACAAGGGTCGAAGAGTGGGTCAGGGCACTCAATCTGGGCTACGATTCACATTAAGTCTGACTCAGACTGACTGAGATTGGACTGAGTCCTTCTAAAATGACTGGCAAGCCGAATGAGAGGGCCAAAGGCGCGTCTTGAAGGCTGCTCTCCCATCGCCACCCAATCTTCGCAGTGAGCTTGTTTTTTTTTCCCCCGCAGCCTGCAACCTGCGGAAAGAAACTGTAATTCCCGATCAGAAGAGAGCATGAAATTTATGACCAAATTTGCTGGAGCAGAACTATCGCCGCCAGGAGAATCCAGCAATTCACTTCTCAACAGTCGCTGACCTTAATCTCCAGATTCTACACTCTTCGGATTCTGCATTACAGAATCAGTCGTGCTAACCGCAACCTCACATAGTCACAGGCATATTAAAGTTTTTAAACTCTTCCTTGCCATATCCATGCGCATCAGGTGGCCATTATTTATTTTTGATGCCACCGCTGTAGAGGAATCAACAGCTAACAAACAAAACTGCCAGCCTGCCAGCCCCAGCCTGTGGACACGCATGCCTCTGCCTGGGTGGTTTGCACAAATGCCCCTGCCTGTGTCGTTTGAACGCATACCTCTGCCTGGGTGGTTTGCACAAATGCCCCTGCCAGTCGGCTTGCACACATGCCCCTGCCTGGGTGGTTTGCACAATGTTCCTGCCTGTGGGTTAACTTTGCACGCACGCCTCTTCCTGGTGGTTTGCACAAATGCCGCTGCCAGTGGGCTTGCACGCATGCCTCTGCCTGGGTGGTTTGCACAAATGCCCCCTGCATCTGGGCTTGCACGCATGCCTCCTCTGCCTGGGTGGTTTGCACAAATGCCCCTTCATGTGGGCTTGCACGCATGCCTCTGCCTGGTGGTTTGCACAAATGCCCCCCTGCCCGTGTGTGGTTTGCTCGCCTCCCTCTCCCTGTACAGGTGTCAGCAGGGCTGCCCGCAACAGTCTCAACTAAGGTCTTCTTTCAAGACAACAACAGCTCCCAACCATCGTAAACTCGCAGGGGCATTTGTGCAAACCACCCAGGCAGAGGAGGCATTTGTCCTTCCTGCACGCAACTGCCGTTCAACACGTTGCCGCTGAAAGGTCTGGATTCTCCTCCGGAGGAAAAAGGCTGGCGGCCCCAGGGTAATTGCTCAACATGGCAATTCATAAATTTTTTAGGTCAGGCAAAACGGCTCGTTGGGGAAAAGAGACTCGGCGGTACTTGTGGTTTGACACTCTGAACATGCTTGATAGATCACATGCACTTTGCGTGAGCTGCTGTTGGTTTTCAAAGATTTCCTTAGCTTCTTCTGTCAGCAAATCATCCACATTACTACACAGGACAGGACAGGTTGTCCTGACATATCAGTTTCGCAATAAAAGCTGGAGCGGCTAGACGGCACAACATATACTAGACGCAACATCCAGGATATCTTTGCAAAGCAGCATACAATTTGCCTTGGTTCCAAATTCAATTCAACGATGGCAATCTTTTGCATACTCACACTAGCACTTTCCTAAATGGATCTGACTGCAGTTCCGGCCAGACGTGGATGAATCCGACTGCAATCACGTCCACAGCTTAGAAGAAAAACTGCTAGTGTGAACACTATATGTCTGTGCCTGCTTACATACGTACGTTTCGCCACATAACCCAAAGGCATCTGGATTTGTTAAATCCACGAAAGGAGTTTATTATATATCGAGGGGTGTAAATCCTGGCTTGGTGTGAGTGCAAAATCTGATACGTATGTGTATTGCACTGCGCCCTCTTGGCTCTCTGACGTAGCGACAAGGTGGTCGCTCAGTATCTGTGCCAAAGGTGAGGAAGGAGGACGCTTTCTCATAACTGACACAGCTCCTCTTCGCTGGCTGACGCAACGACAAGATGGTCGCTCTGTATCAGTGACAGTGCCGAGGAAGGAAGACACCTCTCATACATAAGTGACTCTCTCTTCATCAGATTCTGTGGGAGTAAACATGCAGTTGGATAAGATCCAGCAATTCCATCGAGGAGCTGATATGCAAGAAGAATGGATGATGGAATGAAGCAGTCCCCCTTTCCTCGCTAACCGCAAGAGTTATAAGCGAGCACGATGACATAAGGAGGGAGGACACGATTGTCAGACGGCATCGATGCCAGAAGCAAGGGAGGGAGGGGGGGGTGTTCTCGCCTGAGGGGGGTCCTCATCTGAGAGTAAACGCACAGTAGGAAGATTGGGCGATTCCACTGACAACTCGGTCTGCAAGAATGGTATATGGTATGACGTCGTCCTTTCCACGCTAACTACGAGCGCTATGAGCAGCCACGACGTGTACGTTATAGCCCAATAGCTGCTAATCTCTGCGAAAACGCTCCAAGATATCAAATACCCGACAATGATTCCCGACAGATGTCCCAAGAAACTAGCTTGGGGCACAATGATGTAAGTGAAAACGAGGGACTCGAAGGGGGCGAGGCTGGCTGGCAGAGATAGGAAGCCAAGGACTTGAATTTTCGACCCAGCCTGCTTCTGCGAGAGGATCGTCATCCAGCCGAAAATGACGCAGGAATACCCGACGGCGGTAACTCTCCAGTAGCGTTCGAATTTCAGGTGATGAATCAAAAAGTGGTAGAACACAAGCACGAGCACTAGCGACAAGATAACCAGCAGCAGCGTATTCTTCAGGTAATAGATCTTTCCCATCCCAGCATGACCCAACTGCTCGACAACTCCCACGCTCCATAACGCACTCATGTTAAAGATGAGATGGAGAAAACTAATATGGGAAAACGAAGAGGTAATCACCCTCCAGTACTGCTTCCCGCGAACCACATCCTCGTAGCTAATGCCGACGTCTCCGTACCCGAGGCCTGCCTTCTGTATGTAGACCCATACCCCTGTGCATATGGCGATCAACACGCTAGTGATTGGTTTCTCGGCGATTTCGTAAACAATTGGCGTTCCCATCCGTTCTTCTTCGCTTCCCCTTCACCCTTCCCTGCCTTTGCCGTGTCTGGTCTTCGTGCTTCGCCTTGCGTTGTTTTCCCTGGCTCCGCTTCCTTGCCTTCCACAGCGGAAGAGGTACCACTTGATTTGCATTTACCAAATGTGCAGAGTTCTATGTGATGCAGCTCTTTATGTGACCCCAACCTAACTCGCACCGCACTAGATTGCCCCCCCCCCTCCTCTATGAGACCCAGACCATCTTTGCTGCCACTTCGTCCGAGCTTCTTCACTCGTCTCAACAGCAAGCATCAACCATCTATCGATGTCAAAACATCCTCACCACTGGTTTTCATCTCCCAGCAGGTCTCCCTCCTCCCTCCTCCTTCCGTCTCCCACTCCCTTTTTCAACCTTCACAAGGCTTCAGCACACACCCATGACTCCCCTCTTGTTTCCCTAAACCCTAACCACCAACACTCCTGATGCCCTGCGACGACCACAAAACCTCGCGTACATAGTACACACTAATCTCTCCCACCTGTCAAGCGGCCACTACCACCAGCGGCCACCACCACGACTCGCTTATCATGCTTCCAAGAACCTGGCGATGCGATTCAACTTTTTCACCAGGCGCTGCACGTACGTAAGAAGGAAGGGGTGAAAAGGCGCAAAGCATCAGAGACTGTAGCAGGCACCACAGCCGACACTGCAAACCTTATGGTCATTCATCTATGCTTTTCCCAATTGACAAGTTAGCGCCAGACCATGGCACTGTAGAAGATGGAAGGGTGGAACCTGTACTTCTTGTTCCGCAATGAAATTATTTGCGCGTTATTTACTTGTCAGCCAATGAAATTATGTGCGCGCCATTTACTGCCTCATGTGCGCACCTTTACAGTTCCGGCGTTGAAGTCTCGGAAGATGGATACCTTGTGCTGTTCTTCCCTGATATCATATTACGAAGGTGAAAAGCAGACTCGTTCAAAAACCATTGTGTGAACCAACCAGGATAATATACATAATGTACCTACCTTTGGCTGAATGGCGCACATACATACAGATCTTGACGGTAGATCACAAGTTCGAATCCTGACGTGATCAGATGAGTTCAATAGCTTTATGGGATAACCCTGTTGAAAAGGACAATATGCACAATGCAGTTTTTGCAGACTCCTTTGGGAACCAGTGTCTGAACCTACCACACACACACACACACACACACATGCGTCCACACTTACACACACACACTTCCGCACACACACACACACATACACACACACACGCATGCGTGCACGCACACACACACACACACACACACACACACACACACACACACACACACACACACAC